CAGCGTGTGTCCTGTTGCTTGATGAGGATGCATCTCGTTTTTATCCGTGCTGTTGTGAAAATGCACCATGAACTTCATCTATGGGAAAGAGGAGGAACCAACCCAAGCGCGCTGCGGTTGATGGGAGGTTGGCATCATCTTTCACGCATGTTAAGGGCCTTTTTCCATGTTTTGTAGAGGATGGGATTTTTTTTTGGTGTGGTAACGATGTTCTCTCTTCTCCATTCCATCAGACACTCCCCTCTTAAGGGAGCCTTTGGGAACCATGTAAGACTTCGGGGAAGGGGCGGGCGAATCTCCCCCTTCTTTTACCCACTGGAGCAGTGACACGTGACAGATTCATGCCTGCAGCACTTCTAGGTTTTATCTGCTCACTAAATTTTATTTCCCCTCTGTGAGTGTTTATATTGCTTAGAGACTGCCAAGGTTCATGTTAATCATAAAAAAAAAGTGGAGGTTTATTAGGTATTGCAGCTCTGTGATTCTTTGGTGTTTGAATGTCAATGAAGCTTTGTATGCTCTGAAATAGCTGGAGAGGTGGATCTGAGCTCCGGCGTGGCAAACTATCCGGGGGTGGATTTTTCTTCCCTTTCCTCTGGGTTTTAACATCTTTGGTGACATTCCATCCCAGAGCAATTTTAAGCTGTGTATCATCGTGTGTAATATTGTGTCATGCTGTAATTTTGCAAGTGCATGAAATGGCAGGAGGGAGGTGAGGATGGGCTCATTTACGCACTGGAGGGAGGGAAGAGCTCAGGGCAGGGACTGGCTTCTGGGAGGTGATGAGTTGGGTGTCAGCGCTTTGCCAGAGCAGAGCGACAGAGCAGAGGGGAATTTCACAGAGTCACAGAATCACAGAATGTTAGGGATTGGAAGGGACCTCAAAGGATTATCTAGTCCAATCCCCCTGCGGGAGCTTTTCTTACTTTTAGGGGCTCAGTGGGCAGGCAGGGGGAAAGTAACTAGTTAAATCACATTGCTAATGGTCATTTCCATAGGCTGTGTGTGTACGTGGGGTATTTAACAAAAGAAGAGGCTTTCGTTCTTGCTCCACACAGCTGGGTTTTTTCTTTCTGTGAAGGCTACGGGAAGAACGTGGCCATTTTACCCGGATCAGAGTGAGAAGCCTTCAAAGCAACTTTGGTGGCAACTCTTGGGGAAGGCAGACACAGTCATTCTGGGTGAGGGAGACATCCCATCATTCAGGGATATTCCCCTTTCCCAGCCTCTTCTCTAAATGCAGTCGGCCTCGAGGAATCCTTCTGGGATGGAGGAAATGGGGATGCAGAGGGGGAGAAAGGAACCAGGCAGGCATCAGGGCAGGAGGAATTGCATGCACAGGGTGTGTGCATTGTGCTGGTGTGCAGCTCTTGCTAGCCTTGATGATGAAGGTTGTATTTACTAAAGAAAGCCGGAGGATGAGCAGTTTCTTATTGCTTAGGAACAAGAGAGACTTTCTCACTGAGTTACGCTCTGTGCATTCCCAGTGGTGTTTGGTGTAATTTCATTACCCTTTGTCTCTTCCTTTTGCCCTGAGCACAAGTTTGTTCCTTCAAGTTACACCTAAGCAAGATTTCTTTTTTAATGGTACATTGTATTTAGGACAGTGCAACCAAACTGGAGAGCCGAGCATTTCTTATTTTCTGAATTCCTAGCCAGGGCTGCTCTCTAAGCATTGGCTATTGTAGAGTAAGATATATGTCTTGCTTTAGTGCCTTCAAACTAACCTCAAAGGGGATTTGTGTCTTTGTCATCCTTGTGTAACTATGTAAATTGTTATCGGAGGAAGTACCAGGCCTAATATGCTCCTCTTTTAAATGAGGAAGAGTTTATGGACATTTATTCTACAGATGAAATGCTCTTCCACGTTGGCCTCCTGGAGCTGGGTTGTGATGGTTGGAGAGGGGCCTTTTTCCCAGGTCTCCTATTGGAAAAAGTAAAGAGTGTTAGCATACTTAATCCAGGAGTCTCTCTTTTTGACACTACTTTTTCCAAGTGACATTTTAACTTTTTTTTCAGGTGTAATATGACTTCACTTTGGGGCAGAAATCATGGTAGATTCCATTTCTATCTCTCTAAAATCCAACTGAGACTTCTTCCTCTTCAGCACTATGACAAGGGACGTGGCTTCCCCAGACTGGGAACCCATGGACTACCATAAAGCTGGCCTGAAATATTTCCATTTAAACTTGCAGGCAAGTGTGCTTTGATGGAGAGGAGGTGGAGCTCATATTTTCTTGGTCAGAATAGTGCAATTCATACAACTGTACTCCTTTTCTCCCAGCTACCTTTTCAGCACACCGGGACTCTTACACTTGTTCTCTGAGGACATCCAGCAGTAAGTGCTTCTCCCTCTGCAGCTGCCTTTTGCTTAATTGACCTATTTTGCAGCAGATTAGGCCCCAAGGAGGAGGTTAATATGAGCGGTGATTCTAAAAGGCGGATCGGGGCTTCTGTGAACTGTTCGTTACTGGAAAAGCCTGTTAGTCCCAATTTGCTTACCTTTCGGTACTTTATTCTAAAATATTCTGACTTAACAGTGAACTTACAAATCTCTTCTGCTAGATATAGTCTCCATACCTCTCTTTTTCCTGAGTTTTGAGCTGGATGTGTTGGGTCAGATTTAACACCATACATGCAGATTTACCTTCACTCTTTGTCTTAAAACAGCCACCAAAATTCTATCTCTGGATCTTCCAGCATTGCAGGTCGCATTGCCAGGGCTGCTTTAGCTTCTCTGAGTAATATTTCCAGTGTGCTGTGTGAGATGTAGGAATACATCTCACCAGGAAGTGCATCTTTCTGTAGGATTGATGAGGATGAGAAGTCTTTTCTGCAATGCAAGCAATTCTAGTGGCCCCTTTGAGCCTGTGCAGGGATTGCATATCATACAGGTTCTCAGGATTATAGCTGCTACGATGATTGGAGGCAAGAATTAGAGCAAAATTCAGTGTGAACCAATATTAAGCAATTAGTATATCTTTATTGATACAATATTACTAATATTACCTAATATTATTGTTATATTAATAATATTACATTGATGAATTCTGAGATGTGGCCAGCTTGCTCTTTAGTAGCTGCTGTTCCTGACAAGCTTGTCCACTATTCTGTAGGAATTACCTCTGTTTTTCATCACTTCATACCATCACCAGTCTCCTACACGTTAGTTAAGGAGCAACTGCCTGGACCTACTATTCAATTTCCTTGAACACTTGTGCAAGAAAATAAAGAGGACTGTGACATAACTGTAACGACAAAAAGGTGGATGAACCCTGAATGACTAGGTAGAGCTGAAAATTTTGGGACTTTCTCTTGCTAGGGCAGTAAAAGATAATGATTGCCTTTAGTACAGGTAGGTGCAGCCCTGATATGGGAGGGGGCATGTTTTGAAGGATAAGCACATGCATGGTGTGGTGGTAGCACGCCCGCAGGCAGGGGCATTAGCCGGAGTCAGGCACACACAGTCCCTGCCACGTCCTGCCGTTGAGGTTCTCTCAGTGGGTGGGTTTTTGGGTTTTGATGCAACCAGGGAAAACTTGCAGCCCTCGGCTCGGCTTCTGGTGCCACAATGGGAAAGTGAGATTCTGAAGCAAACAGATTGAGGTCATGGGTAGGAGGAAGCCTCGCTGATTGCTGTCCCTCCTGTAAACCCATGCCTGACCTCAAACTTTTGCTGTAGGAACTTGCTCAGCGTGAGCTGTCACGCAGGTGGAGCACAAGAATGCTGCAGCCCCTGCCCCATTCAGGTGAGCATCCTGCAGAACATGTGCTGCTGGTGCCCAGTCCCAACCAGACAGAGCCAGCTGGGGAGCTGCCAATGCTCCCTGCCCATGCTGCTGGCCACACAGCAGCTTTAAATGTTTCCCCTACTGCTCTTCCCACCCCCATCATCTCTGTAAGTGAGTTCATTGGATTTGGAACTCTAGTTTGCATGGTAACACTGGAGCCCCAGGGATTATTGTATTTTTTCATGCCAATCCAGATAAGTGTGAGACAGCAGTCTCGACAGGATGGGTTGTTTAGGCAGTAGAAGTCCAGATGCTGAAGTCCTTTTATGCTGTATTTGCTGAATTACCAGCTGGGACCAAGAAAGTTTTGGGGAAGGGGAGAACGAGAATACATTTGGGACCCTTGCTCAGTCCTTAGGGAGGACACAGCTCAGGTAAAATGAAGGATCAGGGCCTCAGTCGAGATGTCTGAATGGGGCCAGGAAACTTGCTGTTGAATGAAAAATTTAGGAGCGATGTGGAAGGGCTGGAGAGAAGGAAGCTACAGCAAAGAAACAGAATGGCGCAGCAAAGTAACCTGCTTGGGAATGAGAAGAGGGGGAATAACTGGGCCTGGTACCTCCAACACTGGCATCTGCTCTTGGACATGCTGCAGGATTTACATGCTGGCCTTTGTCAGTGGTTGGGGTATTCTCCTTTTACAGCTTTGATAAACAGAGAAGGATTCCCTTTCTCCTGCCCTCCCTTCTGCAAGGCACAGTTTATCCTCCTTGCGTTGCCCAGGAGGCCCAAAGCATGTTTGCTACAAAGGCTTCATTATTCCTACCTGCTCACCTACCGCCGCTATCAGAAAAGTGGGATCTCGCCATGGGTGTGAGGCAGCTTATCTGCACAGATTAGACCCCGAATGTGGACTCTGGCCGCCAGCAGGTCCTGCTGGGCCAGCAGATGATGCTGCTGGTTGAACAGCTGGGAGGATGGGAACACAAAGCTGCCGAGAACACCACATGCTTCAGCAAAATCCGTGCATTTGCGAGGGGTTAAATACAGGAATGTGCGCTCCTGAAGGTCTGTGGGGGGATGGAAAAGATGTGAGAATTCAGGGCTATTGCATCTAGCACTCATTCAATTACCATGCTTAGTTAAGTACTGCACAGCGGAGTGAAGACTGCAGTCTGTTAGGATGGCTGTTACTGTAAGTCATTTAATTATGAGGTTGCTCATATGCCGTTTTAACATATGTGGAGTAACATTATCCCTCTTTTGTAGGTCACTATTCTCATAAGCCTGGCTCTTGCCTTCCTTGCCTGCATAGTGTTTCTTGTGGTATACAAAGCCTTTACTTACGACCACAGTTGCCCAGATGGATTTGTTTATAAGGTAAGAAACTTCAGATGGATGAATTGCCTGAGATAATTGACTACATGGTTACAGTCTAGTCTGCCTTTCTGACCAGGCCAAACAGAACATTTGGCAAGAATGTGTTGAAATGGGAAAACCGTTATGGGAAATGTGGACTTGCATCTGCCTCCATCAGCTACTGTTACACTGTAATTGTTGGGATTAGCATTTGGTGAACACTGCAGACAGATGTTCAGGAACAATCCGTCATGTTTGTGAATGGATTTATTGCAGCTGGAATCCCGCATTTGCTTCCCACACGTTCAAGTGGCTGAGGTTTACTGGCATGCGTTTTAACGCAAAGCAAACTCCCAGAGTGCTGGTGCATGTGTCCTTTGTGAAAGAAGTCTGAATTTGCCCATGTAGCTCATTTTTAGGTGCTTTTGAGCCTCTATCAAGAACAAAACATGTAACTTAATTGCTAAAACCCTGCTGAATATTCAGAGAACTATTTGACTGATCCATCGAGATTCTAAAAAAAAAAAAAGTTTACAAAACAGTGCACTGACTCCTTACTGTGAATGAACTCGTAAACTCACAGGAGTCTTGACCACGCTAGGGATACTCTGTGGGTTGGAAAATAGAGTGAGGGTGTTGATATTTAGTCATTGTGAATTATTCTCTTAGGTTGTATAAAAACGAAGTAAGGACTGAGTCATAAATTTCAGAATTGGATCCAAACTTGAACTTATGAAAAGATTAAAGGTTTTGGACTCAGATTTCAGTTAATCACATTGAACTGGAGTTGAGGTATCTCATAATCTAATAATAATTGTACCTGGGGCCCTTTGTGTCCTTGGTGCTACTTCAGCTCCGGTGAATACCAACCGATCCGGCATTTGTTACCGTTTGGTTGCTCTTTTACAGCTGTTGCAAAGCGAATTGTTTTATCTGTGCAGTTCTTAGCACACAAGTGTCCACCCTGGCACAGGGCAGATGCATGGGCAGTGTCTGCACAGACAAGAAGCTCTGACCAGGGCTGGCCAGTTGGGCCATGCTTCCTACTGTCCCCGCCAGGATGGTCATCCCACAGGTCAGAGACAACACACTGTGACAGAGCAACATGTAAGCAGGTTTTTCTGCCTCTGCCTGTCCTCTACTTGTCTGAGGATTAACTCTAGACTTCCCTCTACGGAGCTTTCAGTCCAGCATGTGGTAAGAGCTGCTCAGCCAGTGCTGCCAGGGCTCTGGCAAGGGGCCTGGGTCTCTGCGCGTGCGGTAATGTACCGAACCAGTCAGACCTTCATGGTACAGTCCCTGTTTCCCATCCGTGGATGAAATCAGCCTGCGGTTGGGGTTGCCAGTAGCAACATGTTTTGAAGGCTGCTGCCCGACTCTAAACTTTGTGTTCCCAAGGCACGGAAGGGCGGTCGGGGCTGCGCAGCAGACGCTCTCGCTGCAGCAAGTCTGAGGCCAATGTCATCCCGTGCAAACAGCTAACCCAGAGATTTTTAAAGTGAGAGCCCGAGGCTGATGAGACCACTCTTTACCTCTTTTGCTTTTTCCCTGCTTCCAGCACAAGCGGTGCATCCCGGCCTCGCTGGATGCGTACTACTCCGCACAGGATTCCAACTCCCGGGGCAGGTTCTACACCGTCATCAGCCACTACAGCATGGCCAAGCAGACCAGCTCCCGGGCCGTATCGCCCTGGCTGTCTTCAGGATCGGTAAACCACGAAGCCAAGGCTGCCAAGACAGAAGGTCATTAAAGTTAACAAACGGTGATGGGCAAAGTGGGAGGGTGAGGGAACACCATGTCTATACTGCATTGCTCTAGCTGAGGGTGCTGTGCTGACAGCACAACAGGAATAAATAAAACCCAAGTGCAGGAGTCATCTTAATGGATATTTCTTTTCGTGCATTGTTCTCGTTGATTTGTAACTGAGTCCAGCTCTTGTACAAAGGCATGTTTGATGTTGACTGTACCTTACAATGTACAAATATTTTTAAATCATTGCTTAACTATTTGTTAGAAAAAGAAATTAAAAAACAAAAAAAGCAAATTAGATAAACAGCCAGAGAGGATAAAAACAGCAAATAGAATCCCGCAAAGTTTTATCATTGCTGGAAAGCTGTGACATGGCTTTGCATGTGAAGGAACAGCTGAAATCCTTTTGAGAGAGAGGGTAGAGAGAACCAGTTGCAAAGACTTTGTGATGTTGCTCAGCTTGCCGAAGGGGGGGTGTGTTGCTGTCAAATTGAATCCAGCATCAGTGTTCATTTCCTGATAGAGGAATACAAGCATGCCCCCACCCTCGAAGCACGCACACGTGCAAACACACATGCACACACAGCCCTGCACAGTGGCCTAAGTAAATCCAGAAAGATCCAGGCATTTGTAATGAGCCACCACTGTGCTGGTGATCTCGGCTGGGCTCTGAGGCTGAAATCCTGGTCAGTATTTGGATATGGAGCAGGGCGGAAGCAGACGAGGGCTGCTGCAGTGAAATTAAGAATATACTTCTGAGCACAGGGCTCTGAGTCAGGAGATCGGGGCTTTGTTTCTGCAGCTGGCACAGATTTCCTGCATGACCTTTGGCAAGTTACGTGAGGCTTCATCCTTTGGGACCTCTCTCTGGAGGGTCACCAAGGGACAAGTAGATGAGGAGCCTCTCAAGAGTGGTTAGTATAGAACAGTATTAAGCCTGTAACTTTTCAGCCCCTAATTTTCCCTCACCCTTGAAATGGGATGCTCCTGCTTTCCTCCAACTTCAGATACTTCAGTATTTAATGTCATTCTAGGTCATTAGAGAGGGATGGCCATAGCATGCTCTCAGGGTACTGGTCCCATCAAATCTGTGCTCGCAAACACAGACCAGACCCCAAGCTTAATCCAGTCCTGACCAATGTAAAACATCCTCTCTCCACAAATGGCATGTGCAATTAGTGCAGACTGGTGGGATTTCAAAAAAAAAAGGGATTTTCAGAGCTGCAAGTTGTCACTGCAAAGCAGCTCTGCTCCTCGGCAGCACAAGCAGGGTGACTGAGCAGCAGGAGCAGAGTGTGCAGGGAGGACAAGGCTCACATTTGGCTAAGGCTGCTTTTTCAGATTTGTGGCTAGGCTGGGATGGAAATTAGGAACTGGCCCTTTCTTCCCCCGCGTTGGGCAGTTTTGTCCTCCATTTCACATACATAGACACTAGAAGGTGTAAATGAGGGCAGAACTCCTCAGTCCTAAAAGGCATCATGATAAATAACTGTATAGTGTAGCTAAAAATGTAGTGCCAAATGCCATTGTCTGATTTCCTATCCTTCCTTCCCCTTCCACCTGTAAATTCATTTCTCACTCAAAATGTACAAACCTTCCCCTCCACCAGTAATCAAAACTCCAGCAAACCACTGAACAGTTTATAATTTTGTGGTGTATTTTTTGTCAGTAGGTAGCAGAGACTGAAGTATTTTTTGGTGTAATTCTTGAACTTTTCTGACGGGATTAAAATAAAGCTAGATGTGACTGAGCGTCTCTGTGGCTCCAGCAGGTATTTTTTTTTGGCGACTGGTGCCGTGGGCTGGGAGGTGGCGGGTGGTGATGTGTGCGTGCCTGGCACTGCCGAGTGTGGCTGCAGCTGAGACGGCACCTTTGCAGGGGACTCGAGGTGGCTTTGGCTTTCAGGAAGCAATTTCAGAGCTTGCAGTTTTCCCCTGTAGTGGCTAGGGGTTTATTCCTTCTGTTCCAGCCCATTTTTCAATTGCAAATTGGAAGACTGTAATTAAATTCAAGGTGATCTTCAAAGCAATTGAAGCTTGCTTTGGTGATTTTACAGAGAGACTTCCCTTCGCTTCCCATTTTAAGGCCAATGAATGACAGAAACTTGGGCTGGCAGCAATGTCTCCTGTGCCATCTACTCGCAGTGCAAGTGTTCATCCGTGCTGGAGCAGGCCCTAAGAAGGGCCGTTACACAAAGAGCGCTGCAGAGAGATAGAGCTGACAAACCAAGAGCCATGGCTGAACTTTGAAAAAGTTGAGCCCTGTATCCAAACTCTGCAGCTTGATTTCTAACAAAACCACAACTATATTCATCTCACATTGTTTGGAAAACAGATTGTATTTCCTCAGATCCTTCAACTCTTTGAAATGGAGTGATACTCTGGCATTAAATTGGCTCATTCCCAAAGGCTAAAGAATGTTTTATAAAAACCTTTGGGTGGTTTTCCTTCCAAAAAAAGTGTATTCAGAGTTGTGAAATTGAGCTACCGTAGGAGAGAAACCACTCTGCTGTCAGAAGTCACCACTGAGTACTTGTGAAATGTATTAAAAAGGATTCAATGCGCTTTGCAGAATTGAGTCACAGGATAATTTGACCATGGTATTTCTATTGCCACTTTCCCAATAATACTCTAACTGTATGTTTACTTTAATCTAAACCACCCAGGAATCAAATCATTTCAATTAAAAGGTTCTAGCTATTATTAGATAAGTGAGTCAGTAGGGATAACCATTCCTATTTAATAAAGGAAAGATCAAAATCTGTATGGAGCAGAATGGAAAAACAAGACCCATGGAGGACTCATGGGAGAGCAAAAGAAACCAAACACCCCAACTCCAGCTCCAAGTTCCATTACTGTGAATGTTGTTATTCCTTTTTTTTTTTTTTTTGCAAGCTGCAGTAGAGCTTCCAAGATCAACCACGTCTTTTAATCACAGTAACAGAGAGAGGGGAAAGCGTAAATTGAATTTCAGTACATCTTATTGCAGTCTTTAAAAGCCTCCTTCAAGGTTGATCCTATGTTTTCAATGCTGATTAAAGCAGCGTATTGGTGATAGTACAGTCTCGTCCTGGTTGCATTTCTCAGTGAAGTCTAAAGCTCCTGACTGGCTCCACGGAGTGGTGTTTTTGTGAGCTAGTGTCTGGGCGAGGGCTCAGCCTCCGCCCTGAATGGTACCAATGAGCCTTCCCTGTGCTTCTCTCAACATTTAAGTGATGGCCAACTCAAGTCAGCTCCAACCTCTTCATCTGTGACTGACCCTGCTAAAGCATGAGTCCCTTTGGGCGATATTCTCCGTTATAGTAGATTGCAGGGGGCTCAGATTTTGAATTCTTCACCAAAATGTGCTTGTGGACCACTGGGACTGGAGGAGTTGATTTCTCTTCTGAGACAGTCATGCAGGAGATGGTGCCTGGGCTGTTTGTTTGTCCTAGCTGGAGCGGTAGGAAGAGATGAACAAGAAGTGTCAGCACATGAATAAGCTCACCTTTCGGGGACAAGGGCATCCTGAACAGGCAGCAATCCTGTGGAACGACTGGCAGAACAGGTGGAAAACAAAACAGCTTTAGTAAAGGTGTGGTGATGCCATGATGGGAACTCAGCTGCCCCCAGCCCTGGCTCGGGGAGGGAAGAAATTGTGGCTGTTGGAGCCTGAGAATGATCGAGAGCAACAGAAAAAGAGATTGCTACCAGCCAAGACACGGAAGCAAGCGTTGCTTTTCTGTTGTCACCCAATGACCCTAAAGCACTATATCCTGCTTGACTGATACAGACTGTCTTGTTTTGGAAAAGCCGCCCATTGTTGCTACAAACATCTGCTGACTGCAGTGTGTCCTGGGGGGAATCACTCGGCCTCTGATTCCAATCCTCTTGGACTGCCTGCAAAAACAGTGAGAGAAAAGGCTATGCTGACAGCAGGACCCTGCTGGCACCATTGACGAAAACAGAGGTGTCTGTCCAGGGTCTTCGAGGTGACTTTGTGCTTTGGATCCACGTTAGAAACACAGCTCAAGGTGCTGCCAGTGCTCTGTTACGAGATCAGAAAAGGAGCAGTCCCTGTCCCTTTGCATGTGATTTTTCCCCCCCCCCTTTATCCTCCTCCGTGCTTGCCAGCTGTTTCTGGTTTGTAATAATACCTCAAGTGATAAGTGTAGGGGTCGTGCACTGAACTGTCTACAATCACATTTTATACGATTAGTCAGGGTTTTTTTAAAGCACCCTAATTATTACAGTCAAACCGGCTTAAGCTATTCCTCTAATAGATTTTCAGTTCCTGTAAAGTAGGCCAGAGAAAATGACTTACGGGAGAGGATGGGGGAAGGGAAGGGAAGGTGCTTTCCTTCCACCTCTTTTGCCTTTGCTTTTTTAAAGCAGTGGCAGGGGTGTCACAGGGGGCCCACTGAGAGCACTGGATGAGTACCCAGCAGAGTCAAGTGTCTCTGGTACTCTGTGCCCCTTGTCACCCAGACTAGTGCACTTTTGGGGGCAAAACAGGTAAAATCCTTTTGATTGAGAATGCTACATTACTTGAGGGGGATGGCTGACAAGTCATTTGATGGGTTGTGGGTTGCTCCATCGTGGAACATAATCCACGGCAAGTTGGAGTACAGGAAGGTGATAAATGCAATGGCATTAT